CCGTTCAAACCCGTCGAAATTCAAGTTTCCGCCGTCAAACTTTTTATTTACTTTTTTTTTTGTGTGTTCCAATAAAATACGTTGAATTAAAAACTCGCGAAATTTGAGAAGCTACTATACGACATTTAACCCTTCAACATGTTTTCAAAGAGACCATGATGCAGAGAACGTGGTGCTAGTGCTTCCAAGCATAAACACAAGTCTTTATCTATCCAGGAAAAGGGTGAATTTCCATGATCCGGCACCGGTCAGGTCCCGAGGTTGCCGGACTAGAGAGGTACAACCTGTAATAGCATTCACCGAAACATGGACAAACTTACTCACTTGAGTTATCTGTCAAATACCAAACTGCAGGTTACAAATTATTCCATACCAATACGCAGATTAGGAAAGGAGGCAGAGTAGCAATCTATGTCAGGGATAATCTGAAGTGTGAAATTAATAAGGTAATAAAAACAGAACGGAATACAGAAACAATTTAGATAGAACTAATCGATGGTCGGGAAAAATTAATGATAGGAGTAATATATAGACCTCATAATCTTGATAGAGTTAATGAGCATTTTATTTGGGATGAAATAGATTGGATTGACCTTACAGTTACTCAGAATCGGAGTATTTTCTTAAAACAATCCAGGACCGTTTCCTAAGCCAACATATAACCGAACCCACCAGGGGTAATAATATACTCGATTTAGTTCTGTCAAACAGAGAAAACCTCATTAGTAATGTCGAGGTAGGGAACGAACTTGCTAACAGCAATCACAAAGAAATTAAATTCCGGTTAGAATTTCAGGGCAGCCGCAAAGAAAATTCAACTAAAGTCCCAGATTTCAGAATGGCAAACTTTGATAGTTTGCAGAGGCAGCTGAGAGAAGGGTTATCACACTTGGGGGTGAACTAGTACATGACCTCACATGAGGCGACCTCTCACAATGTACCCACAGAGGGCGACTTAACCTTACCGGGAGACCTGTAACGAGATCTGAGGTTGCCGAGTTCCACATCAATTTAAATAATGAGTTACTTAATGCACAAAGGCAGAACATGCCATACAGAAAACTCAGATCAAACAACAATGGCCCAATATGGATAAATAATCATTTAAAGAATATTATTGGACAAAGGAAGGCTATAGGTAGGAAAAGAAATCATGGCGAAGTCTACCTCCGAGATTATCTTAAGGTATTGACCGGTAGGGTTAAGACCGAAGATAGCAAGGGAGGCTAAGGCAAACCCCAAGGGATTCTATCAAATGTATCAAACTAAAACACGAGAAAAGATTGGACCAATAGAGTCAGATACCGGCGAGCTAACTGATAACGGAAAATGAGCAATAATCTGAATAAATATTTTTCAACAGTTTTCACCTGAAAAAATTTAAACATGATACCCGAGGCTCCGACTCTATACAGAGATAGTGAAGAAAATAAATTAAGCGAGATAGTAGTGACCAGTAACGATGTTAGTAAGGAAATAGACAAAGTAAAGCCTAATAAGTCACCAGGTCCCGATGAGATATTTGCCAGAGTATTAAAGGAATGAAAGGAAGAGCTTAGTATGCCCTTAGGAAAGTTGTGTCCTTAAAAACGGGTGTGGTACCAGAATCCTGGAGGATAGCGAATGTAATACCAATTTTCAAGAAGGGATAGATCAATATCCTCTAACTACCGACCAATCAGTCTAACATCAATTGTAGGCAAATTACTGGAAGCAATCATTTCAAACTCTATTCGAAATCACCTAAAGAAGCACAAGTTGATCAATGATTCACAACATGGCTTCACAAGTGGGCATTCATGTCTAACTAATCTATTAACAGTCTTTTCATCTTTTTTCGAATCAGTGGTCGAGGGGCACAATTATGATGTGGTATATCTCGACTTTATCAAAGCCTTCGACAGAGTCCCCCACGAAAGACTAATAAGAAAAGTAGAGGCTCATGGCATTAAAGGAGATATCCTAAAATGGACTAGGGCGTGGTTACAGGACAGGAAACAGCGAGTGAGCATTAACGGCACTAAATCCCACTGGAGCAACGTCATTAGTGGAGTTCCCCCAAGGCTCAGTACTCTGACCATTATTATTTATTATATACATAAACGACATAGATATCGGCGTAGACAGCAACATAAGTAAATATGCTGATGACACTAAAATAGGGCGTGTAATTAAATCCGACGATGACTCCACAAAACTACAGTAAAATCTAAAAAATTTTGAATGGTCTAAAAAATGGCAGATGAGATTCAATGTGGACAAATGTAAAGTACTCAGTACAGGAGATGTAAACAGGGAAACCAGATGAACAACGATGTCATTGAGAAATCCGACTGCGAGAAAGATTTAGGAGTAATGATAAGTAGGAATCTTAAACCAAGTAAACAATGTGTATTTGCTCGAAACAAGGCTAATAGAGTACTTGGGTTCATACAAAGGATTGTTAGTTACAAAACTAGCGAGGTCATCTTAAAACTATATCTTGCGCTTGTGAGACCCCACTTGGATTACGCAGTTCAATTCTGGTCACCGTATTACAGAATGGATATAGAATCCTTGGAAAGAATTCAGAGGAGAATGACAAGACTAATCCCGGGCATTAGGAACCTTGAGTACTGAGACAGGTTTAAGATTCTTAATTTGCACTCCTTCGAGAGACAGAGTGAGGGGCGATATGATCAAGGTGTATAAATGGAAGTCAGGGCTGAACAAAGGGGACATTACAAAGGTACTCAAACTATCCAACCAGGAGCGAACTCGTAACAATGGTTTTAAATTAGACAAATTTAGATTTAGGCGCAAAATAGTTAAACATTGGTTTGGAAATAGAGTAGTGGACGAGTGGAACAAGTTACCAAATATCATCATTAACTCGAATACGCTGGATAGTTTCAAACATAGGTTGGATGGATATATGAGCAATATGAGTTGGGTGTAAATGGGACTGCCCAGTATGGGTCAATAGGTCTGCTGCAGTTTCCTTCATTCTTATATTCTTATGTTTAATATGGTAATGGTTTAAGTGGGCAGAGCCCCCTGGCTAGCAAGTTAGGTAAGGTTAGGTACGGTAGGTTTCTTTGGTTGGTTAGGTAAGATTCTGGTAATTAGTTACGACTTCACAGCCACTCATTTTTCATAGAAAACAAATTTTAAAATGCTGCAATTTCACTATCGTAGTTATGGCAAATGAGTTAAAAAGTGATTATTCATCAACTAAACCTAACCTAACCTTAGTTGATAATTAAAACAGGCTGTAGAAACTTGTTAAAAGACCTTACAAACCTAATCAAAGAAACCTACCTAACCTCACCTAACTTCCTAGCCATGAGGCTCAACCCTCCGGATCCCCCAGCATATTAAACAGAAAGAATTTACTATTATATGGTGAAATTTAACGTTTTTTGTGGACATGAGTGCAGCTACTTTGTCCATTGGCTTATAAACATAAACTGGTGACTGGTATTGATCAGAGATGATTGGCTATATACTATGGTCCCTTCCCTCAGCCCTCCCTCTGGCCCCTATCAACCATCATACACACTACACAGTGTGCCATCTGTTGGACGATTACAGCACTTCCCACAGTCGGTCCGACTAATTACCCAAATGAACCCAAATGTACCCAAATGTAGCCACAATGAAGTCAAATGATGGTCCTACAAGCGTAAATCGGGCTGTGAATCCCTTCCCGATTAGTATTTGGTGTCAGTCACAAAAAATTGGTAAATTTAATTTAATCTGAGTTGAGTTAGGTTTGGTTAGGTACATGCACTCGATCTATTAACTCAGATTAAATTAAGTTTACCAATTTTTTGTGACTTCGTGACACCAAATACAAGTCGAGAAGTGATTGGCAGTCCGATTTATTCTTGTAGGACCATCATTTGACTTCATTGCGGCTACATTTGGGTACATTTGGGTAATTACTCGCTCCCTCGGTACATGCACGTGATCTATTAACTCAGATTAAATTAAGTTTTCCAATTTTTTGTGACTTTGCGACACCAAATACTAATCGAGAAGTGATTGGCAGTCCGATTTATTCATGTAGGACCATTATTTGACTTCATTGCGGCTATATTTGGGTAATTAGTCGGACCCCCCTCAGTTTCTTCGTTATTACCTCGGGTGGTTCAGTCACATTGTGGCTGGTTGATGGAAGGAACTTTTGTCCACCATAGTACAGCCACATCACACCGAGAGACAGTAATGTGCGCCAGACAAAGTAGTGCATGCCTAGTCGTCTAATTAATCTACCAAACGAAGCAATTTCCATAAAAATTATTATCATATCAGAACTCACTAATGAAATTCTAGTAAGGATATCAACATCAAAACAAATAACCTCCATATTAGCCAAGATTCTATTAGGTTCTAGTAAAGTATGCCTGGCATTTGACATTATTAGGGACCTGCCACTCTTTGCCATAAACAGATAAAATGTACCGGGAACTTTCCCCCCACACACTCATCATTCTCTCACTTTATGTAACTTGACAAAACCTATGACCCTTCAGGCTTTTACGCCCTTAATGTACGAGTCATAAAGGCAAGTATGAACTTTTCATACTTCCCTGTTGGGCGCTGTAAACGCTTCTGCGCTTCACCTTGCACAGGATGTAAGGGGGTGCCCAATAAACTAGCCCCCTCGGGGGCAAATCTGAAATCTGTTCTAGTAAAGTCACCTCTTAAAATAATTAATAGTTAATAGGTAATATAATAACATCTTTGGTGGTAATGTTATTCTCAGACATTACCACTTAATTAAGCAATCTGAATACACTACCGTCCTCATATCAGGGGGTCACCGCCACACAATAATACACCAAGGTCACATAATACCCTAGATCACGTAACTCCAACTGATTCTCTTAAAAACATATTACAGCATGATGACTAAGGACCAAGAAAAAAATAGCACAAAACTGTCACTACCAATAAACTGAACACAGTACTAGTTCCACTTTCCACCCAACTGGGCACTACCAACAAACACTTACGAGTCCTCCAGGTAGGTGTGGAGTTTGATGGTGCCCACTGTAGAATTGGCCGTGAAGTTAGGGAAGACGTCGCCAAGGTTCACCATTGTCTTAAGAAGGTAACTAATATGGTACCAGAGGGATAAGGTGTCGCTGCAGCACGTCTACACCTCGCACGTCCAGCTGGGAAATGTGAATGAGGCTGAGTGGACCGGGGTTGCGACGTTGAACCAACATGTACTGGAGCCTCACAGTGTTGCCACTTCAATCTCATTCCCGGCCACTTCCCACATATGAGCAAGATTTTCCCCACGAAATTCCCACAAAAATATATAAAATCCCACAGATTTTCCCACAATATTTTTACACAAATAGTGTTGAAATAATACATAACCGAAATTACGGTACTCCAAATTTATTATCAAAAGATGTAAAAGTAAAGTAAATTAATTGCTGGAAGACAAAATTCAAGCTCCCAAATGCTACAGTAACAGCTTATATTGGTATAAACAAAACGTAATGTAGTATCCTTATTTCAAACAAAGCATTAAGTGTTAAAAAGAACGGCGATTAGGTTATTGGCTGCATGCTGTGGGACCAATAAAACTTAAGAATCGTATAACCGTTGGATTATGACTCATAACCCAACGGTTATACTGATTCCTCATAACTTATGAATAATCAGTTCAGTGTTACAGTAACTTTGTAGAGTTACACATCTATATACCTTGGGGTTCTGGGTGAGCAAACTACTCTACCCTGCTTCCAGTTCAAGTGTGACAATTTCTTGGCTATCGTCGCTATTATTTTCTCCTTCAATTTGAACACATTGTAGTGGATTTCTCCCCTACAAACGCTGTTTGTCGCTGAGTAGCCGACCCCACGAATTCCACAGTGTGTGCCTCGTGGTCTAGGTCAACCAGCGCCGCCATACATCACGGAGGTCAACTACTAAGCCACGCCTACCCCCGCTATTTAAGACCTGACCTCGTGGTGACCTGTCCACTTTCTACCTACACCAACCAGCCAGCAACACCTCCTCCTCCGCCTGCCTGGCGGTCCTCACTCCCGCCGGCGAGCATGGCGACCCACAAGCTGTCCTCCTCTGAGCATCCTCACCAACCAGCTCTCTCTACTCAATGCTTGTAACCATGCTGCCTTCCCAGCACCAAGCTGCATTATACATCCAATACAACATGTATACAGAGAGCACATTGTGAGTTTCCTTTCTCCATCCCATCCTGAGTGTGAACCAAACATCCCAAAAACCCCTCAACATCCCTTAGCTGCAAAATTTTTCAGCATATCGTCTGAGATGTGAAATTCACGCATGATATTCCCTGAAGTGATAACCCATACCTGATCTGAAGTATTGCCTCAACTGATCGCACACTAAAGACATTCCTCAATTTAGAGTGAACCGCATTCATCTGAGAAAATATACGCACTACAGAGACCTTAGAAAAGGGAAGGGAAAATAATGCTATTGCAAGAGATGAAATATTTTGGTATTTTTGTTCTCCTGTGGGCTATTTTCCCACAAAAAATCCCACACGAGATAAAATTCCCATAAAAAATCCTACAAAAAGTCAAATGCCAACGCAAAAATCCCGCAGATTTCATGATTGAAATGTCCTCCCACAAAAGTTCCCACGTGAGGTAATTTTCCCCAAATTTGTGGGAAATTTCCACAAGGTGGCAACACTTGGCTCAGCTGAGTTACACTGTACAGTGACAGAAGACTCTAGTCACCAATTATGCATTTCCGACAATGGTAATTCTGGCCTGAGTATGCTTTATATCCCCATTAAATGACGTTTTCAATATTTTGATTTGCTTCATATACTATATTTTTTAAATTTATTTATAAATAAACATTTGAACCAAAATTACAAGGTAATATTGTAAACGTTGCCAGATGCCGTCAGGTACATATAACTGTATTTCAGTTTCACCAAAGCCAAGACCACGGTAAAACCGAGGACAAACCGACAAATGAATATAACATTTGCGCTCAATCATTTACCACTATACTTTTATTTTTTTTTTAGTTTAACACATTTATTGACAAAGCTTGGAGTACAGATTCCTATTCTGAGTAATTGGCAAACTGTACTCCAAGCTTTGTCACTATACAGAAATATAATTCTACTCGACACTCAACACTCGACAAACACCTTAGAAATTAGAAGAAACAAAAGTCTGGATTGTTAGTTGTACAGCAGAACGCGCCTATCTCATCGTATTGTCACGGGTTCGAGTCCTGATTGTCCCGTGCAAACGTGAGAAATGTCTGTATCCAGTGTATTCTACCAACAATTACAGTTTCCTCCTGTACTAACTGGATAAATATAATTCATAACAAAGTAACAAAGAACGATCCAACCGCTCGAACAGCTAATTAGCTGAGAAATTAAATAATATATAAAAAAATGAAAGGGGCTTTACAATTGGACAAACAAGCAGAGTTATTATTTGACAACACTCATGAAGGGATTGATCGTAATTCTGGATAAATACTGTATAATACCATGAAAATTTCAACGTCTTGTAAATTAGTTTTATTACATGAATGACAACGCGGCGATACTCAACCCTAGCCACCCCCATATCATGGGGGACTTTAACTATGGCGACATCGACTGGAGAAACGAGTTCACCCCAAATGATTTGAATAACCCTGCTACTCTTTTTGTAGGAACTCTGAGAGATAATTTTCTGTTCCAACATGTGTTCGGCACTCGGGCCTTCGTTGTTGAGCGGCAGAAATTGGACACTAATTACATAAGATCATCAAGACCGTCTTAGTGATGTGAAAGTGTAAATCGATGTAGTATTTTTAATGCTAGATGCGATTGTAGTTTTGAAAACTCAATCTCCACCGAGTTGGAGGTACAGCCCACTTCATCATAATTAACGAGGGTATGGTGGCCAAATTGGAACATGTAGCCACCGTTGGCATTTTTACTTTTCACTTTTATCATCTTTGCCACTAATCGGGTCCTTAAAGTGTCCGATACCCAGTGTGCAGGTGATATAGACCTTTAACTCCTACGACTAAGCTGCATTCCGACATAGGCCTCCTCAGTGCCCGGTGTGTAGGTGGGTAGGGGCTGATGCCAACCTCTGTAACCATCTCACTTTTTTCTGAGGAAGAATAAAGAATGGATATAGAATCATTGGAAAGAATTCAGAGGAGAATGACAAGACTAATCCAGGGCATTAGGAGCCTTGAGTATAGGACAGGTTAAAGCATCTTAATTTGCACTCCCTCGAGAGACGTAGAGCGAGGGGGGACCTGATAGAGGTGTATAAGTGGAAGTCAGGGCTAAACAAAGGGGACATTACAAAGGTACTCAAACTATCCAACCAGGAGCGAACTCGTAACAATGGTTTTAAATTAGACCAATTTAGATTTAGGCGTGAAATAGGTAAACACTGGTTTAGAAACAGAGTAGTGGATGAATGGAACAAGTTACCAAATAACATCATTAACTCGAATACGCTGAATAGCTTCAAACATAGGTTGGATGCTTATATGAGCAATAGGAGTTGGGTGTAAACGGGACTGCCCAGTATGGGCCAATAGGCCCGCTGCAGTTTCCTCCATTCTTATGTTCTTATGTTCTAAACCACCACGCTACTGGGATGACTTCATTTATAATCACACCTCCTGCAAGATGTCATCTAAGTGTACTAAGATATGTGTATGTCCGTGCCCTAGTGAAAGGATAATATTATTTAAAAGTCGTTTAGCTGTCCTGCTGGTCTTGACCTCGTTGGCACCCTCGTTCGACTTGGGTTACTGTCTGGGAAAGTTTGTTCCCACTTTAATTTGTTTTATTTTTTTTCCTAGTTTTCCTGTATTAGTGTGTGTTCCTCTAAAGTAATTCTTGCCACACTAGATCTTCCTATGAATGATGGATCATAATACACTATCACAGTTCTTTAGAAAACAGAAAAATTCCTTTCTTTGTGGCCTCAATATTGTTTCCTTGTTACTTCCAGGCCTACTGTTTCCTCCAATTTATACCACTTATATTTTCTTTTAAGTTTTCAAAGTAGTCACTGTTATCAGTAAGGACTTTCTTAGCTGAAAACATACAGTATTAGACTCTATGATCGACTTATGGACGGTCAATCAAAGCGATGGACACGTCTGCACGCCAATTTCAAATTTTCTGTATAACTCTCAGCATATGACATTGATTTTACGGTTGTACCCACACAGTTTGGCTTTGGTCAAGTAGAAAGAATATTTCAATATTTAATCGCGAATAACAGCAATAATGTCATATCGATTTACACCAGCACATTCCCAAGACGATCTTGATGATCTTTTGAATTCACTCCCACTGTCCTTCAGATTTGACTCTTACTTGGGTAATGATAAGAGCAGACCAAGGTTGAAATATTATAATGGTGATGAAGGAGATGAGGGCTATTCATTGGCCTGATTTGATTGCACCTCAGCTACCCTGAGAGATTGGAGCGCCTGAACTTGCCTAGCATATACTACAGACGGGCAAGGGGTGGCCTAGTTGAGGTGTATAAGCATCTCAGAGGGCACTACTCAGTCGAGTGTCCTTACTTGGAGCTGGCGGACGCTCGCCCCACAAGGGGTCACAGCTCAAGATTGAAGAAGCCGCAAGTCCAGAAAACTCTGAGGGCAAACTTTTTCGGAGTGAGGGGTGTAAACTCTTGGAACAATCTAACAGAGAGTGTTGTGACGGCACCGAGTGTGAGCTCTTTCAAGACAAGACTTGACCAACACTGGAGCGGGTTCAGGTACATTCAGGAACCGGTGCATGCCCAGTGCTTGCCAACAGTGCGTGACACAGACGTGACCGATCGCCCGAGCGGCTAGCGAGCCGATCTTTTGGTGAAGAGGATAAATGAAAAGGAAAAGTAATCAGAGACGTGACAGATCGCCCAAGCGGCTAACGAGCCGATCAGTGGCGAAGAGGATAAAAGTAAAAAGTAAACAAAAACACATAATCAGTAAAGTGAACTATTTGATAGATAAATATATAACCAAGACAAAACCCAGTGGCTCCGGGAATACAAGGAAACCATTACACCTGAACTATACAGCGGTTCACAAAATTAAGATGAAATCTCAGAAATTCAAGAGATTGGTCGAGACAAATGATAAACGGGGCAGAGTATAGAAGGGCTAAAAAAGAGTTTCAGAGGCGGATTGCAAGCGAGGTCAAACAAATCAAAACGCTTACTACCATTAAGCAAAGTCGA